ATTTTAATTGTTAGCCTAGAGTTAGTACATCTCTTTAGGAGTTATTTTTTTTCTCCTGCTTAACTTGTCCATCTTTCTGGTATGTACTTGAGATGATGAAAAATAATTTAGCATCGTCTAAGTGGCTTCCGTGTGAGCCGTGTAGTAGACGGCATGGAGAGATCTTTCACGTTCCCGCCACAATTCGTCCTCCACGCGGGACAAACCGTACTGGTAAGTAATACACATATTTTTTTTCTTTCTTTGAATGACACCTAAAAAACAAATTCAAACGTGTGCTTTGTGTCTACTGCCTGGAAATAGTTGTCGGGAAGGAGCCAGTGTGAGAACGAGGGGAGGGGGAACAATTTGCTTTTCCTTTTTGAGTTACTTATAATTCTTTACAATAATCGACGACCACGTAACTAACTGAAATCAATTTTTTCATGCTACTGACCCTCCAGTCTAGGCAAATAGTTCACAGATGATTGCAGAGGACGCTGTTGAGTGAGCATTAAAATGAAATAATTAGCATGTGGCAAACCAGGGCAAGGTATTCTCGGCGGAGGGATCGCGGAGTAGATGAGCGTACTACCAAACGGGAAACATTGGAACATGTGAGTCATTGGAAGCCACTGACGGACCTTCGCAGGCGAGAGCGCAGACGAAAGTAGGGAATTGATGTGTTGTAAGCGATCGAGCTCAAATTGCCCATTCAGTGTGTTCGTAGGTTCGTAGAACATGTTCGTAGGTTTAGTTGTAAGTTCAAGTGGTGAGAATCGGTCACGGTTATGTGGTCAGCTTTACAACAAGTCAAGCGCATCGATCCACTAAACCGTACCTGCAAGAATAATAGAGTCCCAGGGTGGGGGAAGAGGAGCACGCAGCGGCGGTAGGGTACGACTCCCCTACCAGTGCTATACTGAGCCTCGGCGTTGGCCGAGGGAAGGAGCATCAATACCACTGCATGCTAACCTCCCACAAATTGGCTCCCTGCAAGATTCCATGGGTGGCTGAGTGGTTTGTTCCGGCTTTTGGAGTCATACAGAGTCTCCCGAAAAGGGCTTGTAAGTGCGGGATGAACTGGGCTAGCGGCAACTGCAAATCTGTTCAACTCGGAATACTTTCAGGCCATTGAAGAAGATGACCAAAACGAAACATCAGGTCGATGAATAAGTTGTTCCACCTAAAAGCTTTGAAAAGCAGAACATAACATACCGAATAAACGAAAAACTAACATGCCAAGGTTACAAGAAGCGAGAAGATGCAGAATGCCGAGAGAGTTCCTCTGTTTTGATAATTCTTCCAATTACAGATATCTGCAAATCTCCATACGGCAGCAGCACATGGCCACCATCACACATTCGCCCTAGACCTCCACAACAGTTGGGGAGTCAGCCCTCAAACGATCACTTATCTCTACGATTCCTATGGAAGGGAAGTGGCAAGATTCGAATTGAAGACTGTCTAAAAGTAATGAGATCATCTATGAGCCTTTGCAGATAAATCTCAATTTTTGTTTGTCAATGTCGCCTGTTCATGTTCTTGTCATGTCACTTTGCTATGACATCAATCCACTCATAGCAAGAATGCGTATATAGAAGTACTGCCTGCTCACTGCCAGTTTCCAATCAGACTCTTTTATTCTCTCGACTAGAGAAACCTGCTCTGAAATAAATGTTTTTGAATATTTCTTAGGGACATTCCATTTCTATAGAAAAATTAAATCTTTGGACGGCAGACAAAGTGTCGAGTGAATGCTGGAACTGGTGTAGATATCCATTTTGCGCGTGGTGCTTTTTCTCACTCAAGTTTTTGCGAAAACTGAGCCAAGTCCCCCCCCCACTTGACGAACTGCCGAGGGTGAGAAGGAGTTTGACCCCTTGATCAACTATCAGAAACCCAGAACTAATGCTTGTGTAGTTGTTTTGAAGTGCATGGAGCTATTTCTGACAAGGGAACCCGAACAGGTGTACCCGGCAACGTGCAACGAGGTGAGTAGAATTGGGGCATTTTAGGATGCTGAATTTGAATCTGTTTCCCGGATTTGGGAACGCCTTTCCAATCCGTATTATCGAAATGTTCAACCACGCTGTCCCCTTACACAGAAGGGGGGGGGCATCAGAGCATCAAGGCCCTCTCGTGCCAGGTAGCTCGCTCCACATGCATCTTCACGCCGAATGCGTATGATATTTGTGTTCAGAGAATCAAATTAGCAATAGGAACGGGTTTCCGTCCAAACCAGGAATTTTGACCTAATTTCGCAAAAAGCGGGGCAGTCAGTAATCCAGTGTGAACAGCGGCTGCTACCAGTGGTCCAGGTCCGGTCTAGGTTACGTGTCATCTTGAACTTTTGCGCATGGTCCTGTTGCGAAACCCTGTGACGCAGACAGATAGAGGACAGCGCCTGCCAAAGCATCGAGACGTGCAAGAAACCATGGCGAGCCAGGAAACGCGTTTTTCAAGGGGAGGGGACTCCGGAATGGGTGAGCCATTTATCGTACGTGAAAAGCTGGAAGTTACAATGACCTTACCATTAGAGTGCCACTCGGGCGAGAGAGAGCAGAGAAAAACGCAAATTCGACGCATTCGAAGGAACGGAGTACAAGCTGTCCGTAGAGCCGCAGCACCTGCTCAGGGGCGCCGAAATCGGACTTGCCAAGTGTATCAATCCTACACGTTTTGAAGAGTTATCGTGCCACTTGCCATTAAGGAATATGAGAACGGAAGTCGGAAAATCGGTGGCCACTGCTGAATAGGCGTTGATGAAATATGGATCGATAGAGGCAATTCGTATTGGAAAACGCTGCTATGAAGCCACAGCAGTGATACAACTGGGCACATCGTTGTTGGGAGCAACCCGCAAATAGGAGTCGAGGTTATTTGGTCGCAGGAGACGGGGTCGTATCTGGGATGGGAAAAAAATTTAATTTGGATAGCGTTGTGGGTTTCTCCTTCTTCACCCGGACGTTGTAAAGGGCGGGGGTCGTCCTTGGTCCATCTTTTTTGGGAGGAGGGGGTATTTACTATATACTTTTTTTATTTTCCTGTTTCATGTGTATAAGTATTATCCCCCCCCTTTCCTCCCTCCCCCGCTCGACGGCTCGATTCGATGAGGAAGGACAGAGGGGCTGGGGGGGGGGTCGTACAGACTCGACTAAAATCCCCAACCAACGATGTGCCCTGTGATACAAACTGAGTCGTACGTTGGGAAATCCCAGCGGAGGGAGGGCGTATTCGGGTCTGAGAAATATTTTGTGCTCGTTCTTGGGAGAGGAGGTGGGGGGGGGGCGTATTACTTTTGAGAAAAGTTTGCAGTGCCGGCAAATATTTCTCCCGATTACTGACTTTTCGCGGCTTTCCCGGTCTCACATGTGCTATAGTGCAATGGTGCTATATATCCCCCCCGCCCGCTACCCCAGTGCCACTCAACAGCGAGGTTTGGGGGAAAAGCAGAAAATTTCGGGGGAACTCTGGAAAAACTGGAAGAAGTGGTAGGAAGTTGGAAAAAATCTAGGAAAGTGGTAGGCGGACTGGAGAAGGGGATCAGTGGGGCTAGTATTTTCCCCAGCGGCAGGACGTGCCCTGATGCCAACGCATAAGTAAGACACGAGAACGCGTGTGGAACACGTTCCGAATACCAACATGCCCAAACTTCCGTGTAGGCCACAGGGCGCCTCAGGAACTGCTTTCAAATACTGTCATAGGGACTCTCGGGTGAGCGCTGATCTATTGACCATACTTGAACGGTTTTTAGCTACGTTCCGAGACTAGGCAGAAAAGTACGCCCAGCAAGAATTTGGTCCCGCTGTGCTGCCTCGAGGGGTATCTTGACCCATGAACACGATTATCACACCTGTGCTGCGCGATAATGCTTACGGCGCGCGCTACAAGCGCCAGCACTTTTGAAGTTAGCTAGCCTCAAAGAAAAACTGTGGGAAAAACATTCACAACTCCGTTCATTGAATTGCTCACCAAATACTAGAGACAGATTTGACTTCAACGTTTTTAGAAGTGAAAGAAGGTGTTAACCTCATTGCAAATGGCCAAACTGCCCTGGTGACCTCCCCTGGTGAGCTACACCGCCACCGTCCAGCATTACTTCCAGTCATTACGAGGACGCTTGACACACCAGTTCACGAAAGTGTGATGAAGAACCCTCGTTACTCCGATCTAGCGTTCTGCAAATCCAAGACGACGTCACAAGACGCGTACGCCGATGTGTACAGTCGTCATCCTTGCACTTGATAGTCAATGTCAGTGCGGCTGCGTGCGGCGCGGTCGCCCGCACCCGTACTGCACCAATCGTTGAACCAGGAAGTGACATTACTGTATTATATCCTTCGTGTTACTCGTTTTCTATCACTTTTTGTCGCATACGCGTTTCAACGAAAAGGCTGAGAAGGCTTCAAACAGTGTGCACGCTCCTTCTCGCCGACACGCCCCTATCAAGTGCAAGGATGACGACTGTATGTCATTGCAAATGGCCGGATTGAGCTGGCGGGTTCCCTTGTGAGTCGCGGCTAGCGCCACCAAAGAGGCGCTCAGAGCACGTCCTGCCGCTGAGGGAAATTTTTGGAAAACACTCCCCCATCCTACCAAACATTTCC